AAAACCATACATAATCCAACGAAAATAAATAATTGGTAAATAACAGCTTTCTTGTATGCAAAGAAAAAAAATTAAAAATGTTAAAAAAGAGATGTCGACACAAAATTACATAGCCCCTTCAATTCTGAAGATACTACAAACGAACTGTACCTTAACATTTTCATATCCCAGAAGCAAAAGTTCCCATGACGAATATTGCTATCGCTAGCGATTGCAAAAACCAACTTGTTGATATTTACTACCGTTCGTCAAAAAGAAAAAAACGTGCAGTACTTTTGGGACAACCTATGTACATTCGGAACCTGTGAGACCTATGCTTAACAATTTATCGTTCAATCAGCAATCCATTTGAATCAGTGAGAACGAAAACACACCAACTCTGTAACTCGAAAATGCTCAATATTCATAAAGGTCATTGAAGTTAGAGTCCCTTTATACCCAGAGTTACGACAACTCCTGGCCCTAAAAAAATCCAATTCTGATTTGTTCTCTCTCATGGAGTCACAAACGAGTGCACCAAGATGGTGGTGACTCGAATGTGAACAAAAATAATGAAAATATTACCTATTTATGGTTTATCAAGAGTAAATTGTTATTCCATCGGCCCAAAATGAAAATAGATTAAGCAATTATTCACAAACCAATCTCATTTTCTTTTCAATTGATCAATTATGTTGATGTTGTTGTTTTTGGATAACAGACATCGCAGGATTCCTCATCCTTATCCCTGAATATTGTCGTTTGGGTGCACTCGTCTGTGCCTCCATGGCCAGCCAAGGCCGGCTGCCAGTCAGCTGATAATCTCGGTATAAAGGGACTCTAATTGAAGTTAAAGCATTTGTTCCAGCTTTAACCTTTAAAGTGTCTTAAGTACTTATCCCTCGGCACCAAAAATCTTTTTTGTAGACCAACTTCGTTACCTATTGTGCAGTTTTATGTGTGTCTTGATTAATTTCATTTTTTCGAGTTGGTGTGTTTTCGTTCTCACTGATTCATTTTTGTCCGCGTGCGTTGGCACAGAAAAGTCCTTTTTTTGACAGGCCCTGAATTGCACAGTCTGGCAGCGTGGCNGGGGGGGGGGGGGGGGGGGGGGGGGGGGGGGGGGGGGGGGGGGGGGGGGGGGGGGGGGGGGGGGGGGGGCAAGAAGGCCGCGAGGAAAACACACATCGGGAAAGGAGGCCGCGGACGGACGGAGCTCTGATAAATATTCGCGAGAAATAAACTTAGCGTGCATGAATGTCATAAAGAAATAAGTGCACGCGTAAAAATGCATGGTGATGAGGGATCCGGGGCCGATCCGAGGAAGGCAGCCACGAAGGCGGCGGCGAGTGGGAAGCGGGGGCGGGGGGGGGGCNTGGAGGGGCGCCATGACCGATCCTCTTCTGTGAAGCCAATTATACGTTCCTATTCCGCCGGATCCCGTTTCGCGGTGGCGGCGGTCGTCGTGGTTCCAGTGCCGAGGCGTCAATGATCGATTATCGATATTTTCCCATTCTAAGCTGCGGTGAAGAATCGATTATTAAGGTGCTGATTGCGAACACCCTATCTATGGATCCTTTTCCACGGGTTCAAATGGCAGATCAATCGATGTATCGTAAAGCACGCCACGTCACACGGTGAATTGAGTCAATCAGAGAGGTCGGACAAGACATGTTTTACTTAAACTGCAAATTTTAACGTTCATTTCGTCACGTTTTAAACTTTAAGAGGTGCTGCCAGACCAGGGTGTCTGCAAATCCGGAAAGTCCGGAAATAGTACTGATTTTTTAAGGGCGGTCCGGGAGTCCTGAAAAAGTGAAAATTCCACAAGAAGGTCCGAAATTTTTTTCATTTTTTGGTCATTTTTGTCGCAATTTGAGCGAGAAATTTAAATTTTTGAAAATTTTTGGATTTTGTCAAATGAAGGTACTGGAAAGGTACTGAATTTTTCTGTTGAGGTACTGAAATGTTTGGGAATGTATCGAAAAAGTACTGTAAAAGTACTGATTTTTGGCCAGCCTGTTTCAGTAGACACCCTATAGACGAAAATTTCACGAGGAAACCAATGAAACCACTTTTAGAACTTCACAGTTTCGTATAAACTGAGTTATAAGCGTTTAAAGTTTCCAAATTCTGTCCGACCTCTCCCTTGACTCGATCCACTGTGCGTCACTGAGACGCGAATGATCGATTATTATCGATATTCTGCCATTTGAAGCTACGGTAAAGAATCGACTATCAAGGCGTTCGTTCGAACACCCTGTTTATCGATCCTTTTCTATATGTTTATGTGTGTTATGTTGTTGTTATGTGTTTGTGAGATCGATCGATGTATGGGCGCTACTGTGGTGGTGGATACATCGGCCTGATAATAATTACGACGATCGAACCATGGGATTGAGATCGGAGCTAGCTTATCATCCGAACCGGAGGGTTCTGTTTTTTCGTCCCCGTTGAAGGGGCTGTCTATGAGGAGAGGGGGCCTCCGCCCGGAAGAATGAGCTATGTTGCCTTTCCATAAATAGACAATATGCTGTTGAGTCTGTAAAAAATATCACTTTATGGCATCACAGGCGGATCCAGCAATTTGGCAACACCGGATTTCCTCCATGTAAATTTAAATAATCGATACTTGTCAGAGCACCTCGCTCTTCCAAGAATCGATACATTTCCTTAGGTTTAAATGGAGGAAAGACAATGTTGCCAATTTTCTGGATCCGCCGATGCAGGGTCTCATAATTATTCCGAGTCGACTTTTTGTCACTTTTTTTCAATAATTTGTTCTTTTGTTTCAGGAAATCGCCGGGATTTTAATTAGTTTTGAACGACATGCTGAGTGGCAGTCTAAAGAAGTCAAAATTAGGTGAGTCTTCATTTATTAATAGCATTTTTGTAATGTTGCTCTTTCTTTTTCCCCACTCCAAACTGAACATTCAAGTGGCCTTTCCACCATCTAAAGCCGGAAAACTTGTAATAACGAGAACCACCCAAAATCTGTGTTCAAGGTTAAATTCTGTCGTTTTGAACTGAACGATACATCGGATCACCATTGAATACGAACTACAAAAAGACGAGAACCAAAGAAGACGGAGAAATCGAAGTAAAATTTAAATCTGCCCTGTTTAAGGCGATTCGACGGTCGCCATTTTTTGTATCAGAGCGACGTGCGATACATCGCATCAGTTCGTTCCATAATTTCAGCTACTTTTAATTTTTTCGAATTTTGAGATCGCACTTCCGTACTTCTGTTGTCATAAAACTAAAGAAATCCTGTACCAAATTTGACAAAGAAATTCAGCGTACGAAAGGCAGGGTTTTTTCAGAGGAAAATATTGCATTCAATGCTGATATATCGAAACTGCACTCGAATGCTATATTTTTCCTCTGAAAAAACCCTGCCTTTCATACGTTGAATTTCTTTGTCAAAGGTACATGACTTCTTTAGTCTCATGACAACAGAAGTACGGAAGTGCGATCTCAAAATTCGAAAAAATTAAAAGTAGCTGAAATTATTGAACGTATTGATGTGATATATCGCACGTCACCCTGACACAAAAATGGCAACCGTCGAATTACCTTAAGCTCGAAATCATACGGACTCAATAAACAGTTGAAAATTTTATTTTTTGCATTTACTGCTTTCCTCCGAAGCACGGGAGAGCATGGGAAGGCTTTTTCGGCCATTAAAGCATTCAAGGTTCTATCGAGAGTTCCCGACCGAGAGTTTCTGAGGGGACGCGTGGCAAGGGTGGCTGGTTAATAGCGTGCCGAAATAAAATAAAAATCATAAGTGTGCCAAAATAAGTCGGAAAAATGCCAAAACACATGACGGACGTCGCGTCGGTAGTTCGGTACGCCCGCTCTCGAGGAAATCTCTCAACTTCAGAGGCAACTTTTGAGCTTGCCATCCGTCTCGTTCTCTTCCGACCCATCTGCCGTGATAGCCGAGAGAGCTGCAAGTGGGTTTCTGTATGAGCCACGGTTAGCACATGCTTTTATGTGTCTCGAGGTTCATCCCAGCATGTACTTATTGCTCTCTTCGCTATCACGGCAGCCATGTTCATCGGCGCCCTCTCTTCCTAGCTCATGCATTCGACGGAATTAATTCCTTTAATAACGACGAGTCAGCTCTACGGAATGGAGATCACTGAAGGACAGAAACATTGACGGATCCAGCAAATTGGCAACATTGTTTTTCTCCATTTAAACCTATGGAAATATATCGATTCTTGGCGGGGCCAGGTGCTCCTACAAGGATCGATTATTTAACATAGGTTTAAATGGACGGAATCCAGTGTTGCTGAATTGCTGGATCCGCATTTGAACTGAAAATTGGGGCAATTATTATGTGATTGCCCGTGGGCGAAGGGGCTTTTGCCTACGGTGGAATCATCGGCGCGGTTTTTGGCAAATGAGTCAGTTGCACGCAAGAGATCGTCACCTCCCGGCCAAAGTATAACAAGCCTCATGCGACGTTTCAAAATTTCTGCCGCCATTTTATTTTTTACAGAGAAATTGTTGGTCAAATCTGTTTGGAAATTTCACTGAATTTAATCGGCAGCACAAAGAAAATTCAGTGAAATTTTCGGACAGCTTCGTTGAAAAATTTCTCTGTAAAAAAATAAAATGGCGGCGGAGATTTTGAAATGTCGCATGGCGCTTGTGATACTTTGGCCGGGAGGTGACGAGAAACAACCAAATTAATACACTTTTTAAGGGTAAATTCGCCGTAAAATCACATTGGGCACCCTGAAAAAGTTTGAAATTCACTCATCAGCGCTTTCCTTCACTGGAAAAAAAAATAACATTGGATCTAGAGTCCAGACTCTTAAAAACATCGACAAGAAAAAGTACTCTTGATTCTGTCAGAATCTAGCTTAAATCAAGAGCCAAGCCTCTTAATTTAAGCGGATTTCGTTTTGATTCAAGCAAAAATCCGATTGAATCAAGAGTATTTTATCTTGTCAATGTTTTCAAGAGTCTGGACTCCAGATCCAATGTGTTTTTTTCCCAGTGTTTATGCTTCTGAAGTTTAGATATTGAAGTTCACACAGAAGAAGAAGTTTTCAGTTAATCTTGGAATGTGAGCATTCTTATGGGCCTCAGATCAATTTCATAAATCGACGGTGAAACTACCAAACCACGTATCTCGGTTTGCGACGTCGCAGACTTCCTGTCATACTTTATTTTTTAAATGAAAAACTACTTAACATCCAGTCTTGAAAATTTCTGTGATTTTTTCTCTTTGTGCGGAGAAAATTCTGTGAAAATTTCAAGGAATGATATTGATTTGGTCTACTTCAAAAAAATAAAATGTGAGCGTAGATTTTTAAACACCGCAAACGAGATACGTGGTTTGGTAGTTTCACCGTCGAAATGGACTTGATACGTTTTAATGACGTCAGATTCAAATATGCACAGATTAACTCAGCATCCATTGGAGTCGACACTCTTTTGAATCGTGCTTCATGCCTATTGGATTCATCCCTCGATTCCTTTGAACTACAAAAAAAGGCACGAGAACAATTAAAAGTTTGCTGCTCGCGTGACCTAACAGTCAACCGCTTTATTATTTGAGGGTCGATAACGCTCTCCTCACTTCACATGGTTTTCCCTCGGTGTTCTTGATTTATGATGAAAAAAAACAATCAAAGTAAAAAATATGTAATCGCTCAAGGCCTGGCAAACCCTAGTGCCGACAAAATCAAAATAGACTGACTTACTGAATACGTCATTCGATGTAATATCTAACTCAGTGGTTCAAACCAAGACAAATAACATAACCCCATGTACAAATTCTGCGTGAGTTAATTGTCTTAATTCATTACAATTTAGTCATCGACAGGTCATACATCAAAAGGGACTCTTTAAAAACGAAAAATTTGGATATTAAGAAATATTTCAAGGCAAGACAAGGTTGTGTCTGTTTACAATATTGACCTATGACGTAGCCACTAAATCAGTTTATAGAAGGAAAGAAGGAAACATGCAACAGGTGGAAGTCGAAAAATTTGTATTTTCGAAGCTTATGTTGCAAATTTCCATTCTTGTTTTTTTTTATATTATCGTTCTATTTTTTACAGGAAAATTAATCCATAGCTTAATTTTCATTATTTTTTCTAATAGTTTTCCTCGCTCATACAAAAAAATTTACAGAGTTAACCTTTCTTTGTAGGACCGAAACACAGCCGATTAAAACTTGAGTTTTTACCCTTTTTTTTTATTAAAAAAGAGGAGATAATTTCGTGCTTCTTGAATGAGGACGTTCATCAGAATTGAATTGATGGAGAGGGGCGACATACAACTATTCGTGTTCGAGAGATGTCCGGGTTGCATGCACAAAAATTGAAGGCGCTTTGGCGCGTCAGTCCGATATCGGGCAGTCTAACACTCCGATAAGAAAACTTTAGAGACATGAAATGCTGCTTCCCCTACTCCTCAGCTCTCCTTTTATTTATTCTTCCCTTGTCTCCTTTTATTTTTTGCACATTTCTATTGATATCCCTCTTTTCTAAGGTGTTTATAACTCAGTATTGTTAAGACCCCTTTAGATAAATGTATTCACCGACCAACCTGCCAACCATCCTCTCGTTAGCGCATCCAAGATGCTGAACAGAATCTAGCTTTAGATCACGCTGCGATGAAATAAATTGGCCGTCGAGAAAAAGCCTTTTTAAAGGAACGTGTTCAAAAATTTGATTTTTTCAAAGAGACAAAGAACCACTCAGAGTTTAATTACCAACACTGAATGTGTACGACATATTCTACAATTTTCTTGTAGAAAGTGTTAATGGCAAGAAGATTTTTTGATTTTGCTTGATTTTGCATTAAGATGAACTTTTCTTCGCCAGAGTAACGTGTTTTGAGCTGCGAAATTCCAGTTGTTTCAACTTCGGTTTGTTTTTATATTATTTGACATTTTTTGTCCGAAAATGAGCTTTGAGAACACACTTTCGATTGAATTCTTCTCACGTGTTCACATATTTGAAGGGCTTGGAGGACGAAGCGCATTTGTGTAGTGTTTGCTATTTCAAGAAATTGAATTACGTGGAGCCTTACGGCAGAAGGACAAACTCGCTTCTTTATGCTTAAAAATTGGATTTCAGTGGTGAATTTTATACAAATTATAGTTTAAGACTAATCCTAGTTGAAATACTAATTTTATCAAGAATAGCACATACGCGCCTTGTCCTATAAGCCCCTCATTCAATTTAAAAGGAACTCAGACGTGATGAGTAAAAATGCTGTTTGAGCATTCAAATGTTGCCAAATTTCCTTTCAGTAAATATCTAATTTTGATGAAAGTTATACATATTTTTTCTTGAAATTTGCAGAATTTTTAGATCAAACTACGAACAAAAGCCTGTGCAAAATCGGAGAAGAAATATTCAGACATTTTCCTCAATATTCGTGATCAGTCGAATGCAATTTGGCAACGCCCTATGGCTCATAAGGCGTTTTTGCTTAGCACGGCAGAACTAGGAAGCATAAAAACACTGTGCAAGCAGTTATTCCTTTTGATTTAACTCCTGTATATTGTCCCTTTGAGCGTGAAAATTTTGAGTTTTTCCCTAGCTCTATCCTCCTTGTGCCGCTTTAAATCGGCTGCTCTCGCCTTAATATTCAGAGATGAGCAGACGGCCGAAAGGAAGCTCAGTGCCTCGCCTTCGCCTTACGATTCCGGAGGTGTCACCTACCTCCAACGCCAACACCCGTTGCAGCGCCTCAACCTCTCAACCTCACGGCACAAATGGCGCCCATGATAAATTAACACCCAACCGTCCGACCCCTCCGTTTAGCCACCACCATAGCCACCTCTTCCTCTCTTTCTCAATCTCTCTTGGCTTTTTTTTTTTATTTTTT